GAGAAAGGGCCTTGGCAAATGTACAAAATAACAAGATGTGAGTCGGGGAGTGTTGGGTTCTTTTTTATTAGCAAAAAGCGCGTCCTTTCCTTATAACAGAAATCCACGGTTCGTTTTTTTTGCATTCTGGCCCCATTGCCAGGGAATGTGCAGGCACACGTGCATAGCCTTATGTTAAAAAGAATATATATGTATTTGTCCGGACCAAGGGAGAGTGCAATTTTATTAAAGACGAATGCTCTTAACTGAACTTCGCTGGTTTACGACTGACTGTGGTGAAGACAACATTAATGAAACGAAATACATTGCTCTGCAGTAAATTGCATTTCACTGGTTCTCTATTGCATTTGTAAATGACTGTGGTGTCACGACACAATCATTGTTGCTTACTGTGACGGAGTCCATAGGATCTGTATGCCCGAGGGGGGGTAAGAATATTATGACCAAGCTTGTGTAGGAGTTATTAAATTTTACTGTTGGCAATTCACTCGCAAAATGCGTGTAACTACTTAAGCACTGTTCTTTGACCATTTCGACCATAAAACTATGTACACAAAGTCTTCTTGTGACGCCAAAATGCCGGTTGGTGGCTTTTGTCTGCTACTTGTCACTGCTGTCTGTCGTTTTCTTCTCTTTTTTTCTCGTCAAAAAAGCATGTGGTATTGTGGCTACATTGGCAAACACTTTCCTATGGAGACATTAATATTATTTGTAGTATTTCGATTAAAATTTAATTTGGTATAAGTTGAAATGCATTAGAAGAAAAGGAGAGATGGCGGTTTTTTCTTTGAGGGGTTTCAATTTTTTCCTGTGGTGGAGGTATTTGTCCCATTTTTGGAAGCAGTGCCCAAAGACACAAATCGGCGGTTGAGTTTCTATGGTATACCGAAGAGGCAAGATTCAGGCCTCCCCCCCCAAAAAAAAAGCGAAAAGACGAGGCGGAACAGAACGCGAACGACAAGAATAGAGGCGGCACAATACATGTAGGCCTAGTTAGGAAATGTCAAGATCTGAAGATGGCGTTGTTTTATAATAGGTGAGTCCGTAAAATTTGAATATCAGTACATTTGGGTTTCAAGACCAAAGTCTTATTTCTTCTTCAGCTTAATTGAAACATCGTCAGCTTATCATGTAGAGGTCATTTAGTGCCAAAGAGTGTGGTGATAATATTGATATAATTAATAAAAACTACACAAAATGTAAAAATTAATTAGAAAAAATGACCTAGTTTGCTTGTGGTCTGGTGCAGTATTCTTTTTCACTTCACCGTAATTATCCTTATATTTCATTTTGTGGTATGTGCATGTACCGCCGTAGCCTACGTAATGAATTTCTGCCCACATCATTAGTTAATCATCCTGGTCCTGGTAAGTGCATCGAGATGGTTGTTTGAGTTGGTCGTTGACTTGAGTTTTTCTGTGTTAAATATTTCAAATTTGATTTCCAAAATTGCAATTTTAACGATTTTCATTTTTTTCTTTGTTCTCATTTTCAAGCATTTTCTTCGGTCTGGCTCCATATATGGATTTTTTCCATATTGCACTGCAATGCATGATTTTCTGTTGATGTTCACATGTAAAAAGCCTAATGTTAACCCCGCTGTTAACGTTTATTGAGTAGTAACCAGAATTTTATGCATGCTATAACTATTCAAAAGCAATAAAGTCAGATTTTAACTCTTGTTCAAAAGTAAGTCTTGGCCAAATGCCAGATCTTAGTTCATGTCACCAAATTGGCCGATCCAACCAAGCAGATCTGAACCCTTTTATTTTTTATTAATTTTTTTGGGTAGTTATAGAACCATTTTTGCAAAGTTTATTATTTTTCTGTAAATAATGAAAAAAAGGTTATTATGTAGCATCTTTTGAATTACCTTAATTATGTACGTTCCATCACACTTATTGGAATAGGCCTGTGGTCTTTGGTCACCCTTGGATTGTAACAGTTCAGAATGCTGCCAAACCTTCAAAACTGGCATTTGAGATGAAAAAACAATGCAAGTGGAATACGTTCTTGTATGTGACAAAAAGGAAAGTTGGGTTTGAGCCCCATTCAAGCGAGCTTTTATTCACTCTCACTCCTTTAGGTTGTGTGAGCATCACTTACACCATCCCCTAAATTGGTGGCACACATGGACTTGAACGATGTTCGAAGGGAAGCCGCAATGTTGAGGACACAACAGCTACTGACAGCAGACTGCAAGGAGTACACTGATTGATTTTTCAGCAATTTGCAACACCCATAAGGAGCATAAAACTTTAACAGGCCACATGCTTCAATCATTATGCACTCATGCGCACTGGCAGGTGCACTTAAGACAATCATATGAAATCTAAATTTTGAGGATTTCAAAAACAGTAATGAGAACTACATGTATATGGTAGCTTCAAATAGCTCCAGTCTTGTTTACAAATACTGAATTTTAAATTTTTTTCTTGACATATGGGAGGTATTTCTCGCATAAAAATCCCTGATTGTAAATAGGATTAGAAAATTATTTCACATGTAACATAGACACTTTATCCCTGTCTCAATTTCATGGAATGACACTCGAATCAGTGGCATCTCAAGTGAATTGTATAATTACACCAATTGGAAATATTTTTGAGCTTATTCACTAAGTTGATTGAATTTTTCGTATTTATTGCAATTCCTGGTGCAAAAATGATTTGAATTGACCATTCAACAATAATCAACACAGTAGTTTGCCTTGCTTGCTTCTTCTGCGTCTGCCTGTACACAATGCCCTAGTGGGCTATCCCGGTATAGTTTGGTTAGGGTTAATGTGGCAGCAGCACAAATTAAATTTTGAAGTAAGCAGGATGTTGTGTGCTTGATCCCAGGCTGGCACACTGTGGTTTTTTTTCTCAGGGAAGCACTGTGTAGTGTTAATAAAGTTATGTTGCATGAAAGAAATGGCAAGCTTACTTAATATTGCAATTTCCTCATTCATTACATCCTACCTCCTTGAAAATTGAAGTAGCTGATTTTAAAAAATGAAGATTTTAGGAGGCGTTCTTTAATCACGAGTCATGATGACTAGTGCACATTACGCACTTTAAATGCGTCACATACATGTAATTGTGTACATGAATGCGTGCAATTTTTAAGAACTCTGCTCCATTCCACCTCTTTAGGGAGACCACTATCCTCAGTTATGCCACCTACATGAAAGCCTTTCGTGGATATGAACAAATTCAACTAAAAACGAAAAGGCGTCATACAAGATGTTTTGATAAAACCTCAATTTTATTTGACAAATTGACAGATACAACTTAAAAACTTGAATATATTTAATAAATGAGGTGCTTGAAAAAATAGATTGTTTGTATGTATACATTACAAACCTGTTTATTCACATTTTGTGATTTGGAGCTTTGGGGGATATGGTCGAATTACGAACCAATTTGGGTAATGTTCAGAAGTGCTTGCTTGCTCCTCTGGCCAAGACAAGCCAGAAACTCTGCCTGAACATTTATCAAGCCGATGCATCTTGTCACTGTTTTCCCTCAAACAATTCTGACTGCTTATATAAAGATCCTATTACATGCAGTTTGTGAAGTATGACATTTTCATGTACGAAGTCATCAGGGAAATTATGCTATGGGCCTTCATGTTTCCCACACATTTTTCTTATGTAACACGATGTTCCTTTGAAATGTAGGTTTAAATCTTGTAGAAAAACACAAATTTGCACATGGGCCTAGCATTGAAAATAATGTTAAAAGACTTGAATCTTAACCGGGGAACATGTACTATTTTTCCACTTGAAAAATTCGAAAACCCCACCAGATGAGTATTTATAACTCTGAAAATTGCTCTACAAGTCAGAAAAAAGGTTTTGCTAGGAAAACCCAACCAGACCTGGCTTTCAGTGAGAGCTAACGTCAGTACTCGATCGTGTTTGCCGATGATTGTTCATGAGAAAAGAATACATGCGCGGTTTTCCCTGTCTAAAGCTAATTGTCGATAATTCTCACGTCAGTATACTCATAATTATCACAGTGTCATAACATACTTGTATGTTGTCTCTCTCGTCCATTTTGCGATTTTTTCCACGAAAAAGAATGCTTTCCAAGGCAAAATTACGAGCGCAGTGCTGGTCGCTATCGCTCATCGCACAACGCTTCAAAGGTCAACGGGACGTTTCCTGTGCTGGCAACTCCAGAGCTTCCGGCTGACGGAACACGCAATACGCCGTGCGCCCGCTAGGGTTGGCAATCTATTGTTTTTCTCCTCCAGGCCTATGATCATATGGCTCAAAAGGCTTATTGCTTTCGTCTTACGCTGACTGCGATGCCAAAGCAAATTACCATAGGGCTGCATGTGTGCTGCCCAGTACAAGCATGGTGTTCAGACCTGACATATCCCCTTACGCGTATAAATTGTGGACCAAGTAGCCATTGTAGGTCAAAATAGAACGTGCCTTACAGGAGCAGAGCCCCCCCCCAACACACACATACATATGAAAATTAAAATGTCTAAGAGCAGTATCGAAAGCATTAGGTGCAGGAGTTCAGCCTTCAAAATGTTGGCTCCAGAAACGCGCCAAATGCAAGAGGTGTGATAATCAAGTTGCATGCTTTTTTAGTTGCTTTAATCTTCTAAATGAGTTTAAGTTGCGCAGTAAAGTAAGAGATATTTCTAAGGTCTGGTTAACTTGCATTTAGTACAGATTCTTAAAAACGTACCTGTAAAATGTTGCTTGAGCATGCCATATTGAAAGCAAATTTATCGATCCCATCATCTGGTTGGTCGTTGATTAAGTGTCACTGCATTAACAATGCCAATCCCACTCCATATCCCTTGACGACTGTGTTCTTTGGTGGTGTTTTGGACAACTGTTGACCTGGATTAGCTTAGGATATATTCAGATGGGCCAGACATTTATTTAGGACGTCGCCTTACCTTATTTATTAAGGAAAGTTAGCAATTACACTACTTTGACTCGTCAAATGAAGTAAACTGTATTCTGTGTTTTACACTGTGAGTTTATTGTTAGCATTAAATTCATTTTACTAATTACAGTCATTATATATATAGGTATCAACAAACGGTCATCATCTGCTAATTCGTGTACACTGTAAAAATATGTGGTAATGATTTAACACCATTAAATGCCTCCATGGTATTACTTATGAACGTGTTGTGGTGATAATAATGCAGAGCTTAACATGTTGTGGTGTTTATTTTTTTAAACAACTTTCCATGCTGACGTGTTAATAAATTTAGACACAAAGAAACGTTTTGGTGTAACTAACAAGACACAAAAAACGCTTATCGGGTTGTAACGCTTCCTAAACACCCAAACACGTCTGTTTCCATTAACTGGTGTTTAATTTTAAACACTTACATGTTTACAATTAATTCAAAGACGAGTTATTACCGGTTCATACTTCACGCGAAAGTGAACACGAATGCGAGTTGTTACATGGGATCAAACATTCGCCCCGCGAATTCGCGGAAGTTGAATACATTTCAACTCGAGCTAGATTTTGCTGCAAATCTTTCGTGACGACAAATTTGCTCCACTTTCGTCTTTGCCTGAAGTATGAACCTGCGTTTAATAATGGGCGTTGGTTTATACAGTATAATATTTACAAGAAGCGTAAACTTGAATAGTGTAGGCTTTGTTTATGTACATGCCAAGGTCAACATGAATCTGCAATACAATGCATCTATCACGAGTTACAAATGATTTTTACAGTTAATTACGACGCACAAAGTTGTTAAAGCACTGCAACTATTATACAACTTTTGTTACACTGTTTAATATGTCTTCTATTCGCATACAAGACAAGTGTCTGACGAACTATTCGTGGTGTATAATAATTCTCACGTTTTGTTTCAGAAATGTTTACGTATTATGGTGCCATCTCAAAGTCAATTCTGTTATTACCATGCCTTTTCGAGCAGGGGCAAAATGCAGCCTTCAGGCCTTGCCTGAATTTCTTGTATTTGAATTCATAGATTACAGGGTTAATGGCGGAGTTTAAATAAAAGGCAAAATCGCTGAATCCTCTGACGTACGAGTACTCTATTGAACCACAAAAGGTAAAATAAGACTCCTCTGTTGGATGCAGGCAAATAAGAATGCCTATGTAACTCTGAGCCCACAGGATTAAGAGAGCTCCCAAGACTATGATGAGCATGCTTACCAGACGCTGTCTAGCAATCACAAGATCGTAGGCTGCTGCCCTCGCATGCTGCAGGTTGAGGGCTTTGGCTTGTCTTTTGAGAGTGGCCTGCATCTTATAGTAGGCCAGAGTCATTAGAATTACGGGAAGTAGATAAGCCGTGACGAATGCAACCACACTAACAACGGAAGGAAATGCCTGATGGGGATATGTGATTGTTGAGCACGTTTGGTCAGGCTCATCAATGGGCTCAGTTGTGAATAGAAATGGCATTGATAGTGAAACCGACATTGCCCATGCCAGAGCAATCAGACTTTTCATTCGTACAGTTGTGAGTTTTCTTTCGTACTTCAGCGGATACACTATGGCAACATACCTCTCTAATGTTACTAGCGATAGGCAGTACGCTGATGCATAGCTGAAAGCCCATGTTAGAAATCGAGATGTCAGGAGTCGACAATAAAGTTCCCTCCCACCAAAGCTTGAAGGAATATAATGAAGCAATGCACAGCTTTCATGTGCAACCAAGTGATAGAAAAAAGCTTGAAGACACACCAGCATGTCTGCCACTGCCAAATTTACAAGCAGATAGTTCGTCATGTTGTGTAGGAATTTAACGCGCAGAATGACGAAGCACACCAAGAGGTTTCCTAAGACACCAACGACACTTTCCGCTGCCAGAGTTTGACACATCCACTTGGAATTTCCACCACTTTCATTCTGTCCGTGAGATGCATTCATGACCACGTTGTTGTTGGCACCTTTCCTAAAACAACATTCTTTCCACTGCTTTTAGGCGGCGACATTTGCTAAAACCTTCTCTAGTCAAGTGTGTGGTGTCCAATCAAGGCATCAGAGGAGGCAGTCTGGGATAAGTGGTTCTTTCTAAATAACTGTCGAAGCCGCTGAAAAAAAGAATAAAGAATTACACTGCAGAGTACCATCAATAAATTTTTGAAAGTACTCTTAACTCATTAGTCAAACGTTCCAGAACTCTTCAAAATATAAACACGAAGCAATAACCGACCTAAATGTTGTTTGATGGTGCTAACCTTGGCTGCATTGTCTCTTAGAAGCTGGTCGAGGAAAGTTCACGGTTACAAGTTATTGAGCTTGTCGGAGAGTGATACAGATTGGTATCGTATGGCAATGCCGCCTTGTCGCACCATTTTTCCTGTAATGTCAACCACGCTTTCTTTCACCAGAAGTAGGTACAGCTAGTGTGTCCTCACTTTAAAGTGGAAGCCTCGATCAAAGCCCGATCCGATCACTGCTGTAGTGACGTCAGGTGTTCCGTCCCGTTCAGTGCAGCCACAAATCTGTGTAGACAGTGAGTTGGACTGAGCACTCCCACGCTTTGAAAGAACTTGTGAGATGTCATTTAGAATCAGGGGTAGGCAATTATTTTCTCATCTTGATCCAACATCAAGTGTGGAAGAAGGAACAGAAGGAAATGTGAGTCGCACTTTTTAGTTTCAGAAAGTTTCTCAAGTTGTACTTCATAATGCTTAGCTTTAAGCCTATATAGGCCTAGTAAGAAATTTATGACAGTCTGTCTAGCCTATCAGGCTTTGTTGGCCTATATGAAACTTCACTATCTTGAAGTTGGGACCGTCTGAAATGTTACTTTTTGGCAAAAGTGGTTTGGAAACTGAATGACTAATTTGTCCTTTATTTTCCGCAGATTTCACAGAAAAAATCTCCAAGACAGCCATGATTTGTGTTTGTTGGATCTAAAAACGCACTGAACCCAAATCGTGTGACAGACGATGTCATATGAGTGACAGAATTCTTCTTCGGGGCAGAGATGAAGCCAAACTGAGAAGCAGAGTGCTGACGTTTCTGTTGAATGAAGTTACAAGCAAGGGAATTCAAAGCCTTCAACGCATGAAAGAAAGTTTGTCTACAGAACAAAATTATTCATTCTCTGTTACAACTGACTTTTTTATGCCGGAAAGTAGTTGTTCAATGTAAATCTTTAAGTCAGGCTATGAACTCAACTTTTTAAGCTGATTTATAAGTGTCTGCTTAAAAACGGCAGTAAGTTAGTTTGGTCGCTCATTTAAAGCTGCGCTCACTTTGTGCTCACAGAAAAGATTCTCACACTTCTGTATGCCGCATGTCGGCTTTCAATAAAATGTACCCAATATGTGAATGAATTTTATTTAGTACCCTTTTCCCGAGAGTGTGTAAAATTAAAATCATTTTATTGACGATTTTCTTCAGTGCTGGCTCATCGAAACCAGACGGAAAAACACATGGACAGTTTGGACATCCTATTTACTGACAAAACCTTCTGCATCTCCTGGTAGAATTTTCTCAGTTTTACACACTGAGTAAATCAGGATTGAACTGACCCAAAGTGAAAATATTGCTAAAGCGAGACCGTAGACAATAGGTGTAAAAGAAATCAATAAAAAGCAAACACACACAAAAACCCGTTAATTAACATTACCGCTTTCGAATGGGTTAGTTGATAAGAAAATAATCAGTTATTTCTGAAATGATATTCTTGCATTTTCTGCTTATTTTTGGTTTGTTTTCGGGAGGGAGGCCAAGGGCTTAACTATCGTCCCTTTAGAGAAAAAGCTATGTTGACCAGAAATGCCCAGCACACAGCATCACATTACCCTCCTGTTGTGCACAATGTGCGATGTCCTATCCACTCTATAACGGAGATCAATGGTGCAAACGCAGCGAGTATGAACCAGCCCTAAATTGTCAGCGTCGACAGACCAAGCGGAAGCTAGTGGGCAACGTTACAAAACCGACGTATATAGAATGCTCCATGTATCACTGAAGGAGGCAAGGTTTATACTACGTCACAACATAAAGCAAGAGTTGTTGTCCAATTGCAAATCTACCTTTGTCCACACGTTACTGGGTCTCTTCCCGAGAATTGATGGGTCCTGTATTCGAACATAAAAAGTCTGAAAAATTTCAAAAACTGGAGATCGCGTTTGCATCTGAATGGGCAAATGTTTTCTATCCGGTGATGCAAGTTTCATATCTACATTTGCTAAGGGAGATATTGACGAAAAAATTGTTGTCAATTGCTTCGTGTTTTTGTCCTAATCTGCCTGAGTGTACACGTTATTAGATCTTTTTTTCCGCGAAAAGATAGTTCCCTATATTCGAGCATAAAAATTTCTGAAAATTGTCCATATCTAGAAATTGTGTTGTCATCTGAAAGGGCACATGTTCTTCTACCCTCTGATGTAAGTTTCATTTACATATTTGTTGTATAGTTAGGGAATTATCGGCGAAAGAAGGCACGAGTTGCCCTACTGCTTCGTGCTTTTGTGCAATTCTTCTTTTGTGAACTCATTTACTTGGCCTCTTTCCAAGTACCAATGGGTCCCTATATTCGAGCATAAAAAGTATGAAAATCTCCAAATTTCGGAACTGTGGTGTCATTCCTTTCTCCATCAATGCAAATGTACGTCCATATTTCTTGTAAAAACATTTAATATACGAGTAAGACGGTAAGGTGTGGTTTCGCTCTACTTCGTTCTAGCGTGACCTTCCCTATACATTCTGGCAGAAAGTGAAAAAGTGAGTAAGAACCTTTATAGCAGGCCCCTGCCACACGAATTTCCCCGTTCGCAAAGTGCATGGCGGGAGCCTGTTTATCTGGTTTGACGACTCTATCTCAATATCCCCATAAAGAAACGCACGCAGAGGGCGCAATGTGTTTATCCAGTCAGTGGGGTCCCAGATCAGTGGGACGAGGCAGATGAAGAACTGGTGTTGTTTTCTGAGCTTCTTCGCACGTAAAAGTGATGTTTTATGAATACCACATCCTACTGCCTCTAGCACCAGCTTTAATTAAGTTACATTCTACATATTTTTCCAACTTTTTTTTACTCTGCTAAGTATATACATGTTATAAAGACGCTGATAACGAAATAACTGTAAGAAATTGTTTAAAATGTGCAGGCATAACGGTCCGTCTAGGCAATCGTTGGAAAAAAGACTACAATATTTTTTCTCCAAAATGAGAAAAAACATTTGGAAGATTGTCTGACACTTATTTGCTTACTTTGTTGTTGCTTACTTTTTAGTGAACATGAAGACAATTTGAAAGTCTTGTTTCTGAGATTTGGCATGCTTTGCTATTATTTTCTCAATGACTCATCTTTTACATCTTTGTCAAATTGCATAATGGGTGAATTTTCTTGATATCTTGTTATTTCTGTCCGCTGGTCGTTTTTGTTTTCCTCTTAATAATTTGTGACAAAAAGTTCAAATCATTTGACCTGCGCCTCTCGTATACTCTTGTAGTTCATGGCCTGCTTTTTCTATTCATACTCGCACTACACTAAGTATTTGTATTCCTTTGTGCAGTCTAAATTATTCTAATTTTTCTCAAACTGTACAGATACATGTATCATGTAAAATTTTATATTTCTGTTTAATCAGAGTGTTTTAAATAATACTGAAAGCTTATCTAGAAACCACGGAGAACAAATCAAACTTTAGCCACTCATTTGAGATATGACATCACAGTAGTTCTTGCAAGTTATTGCATTCAGCACGAACGCTGCCTCGTAGAGAATGTATAACAACATTTCTGTTCAAATCCCTTCCTCATTTCCTGACATTTTGACTCATCATTCGTTTGACTGATCTACATTTTTGACGTGATTCCCAAATGAGATCAGCCACTCATATATATCTTTAGATTCACTCTCCTCTAGTTTCCTTAAATTCACACTCGTATGCTTCATTTCCAGCATTGTAAGTACATGTAGTGTTTACTTCACAAACCGCACAATAGAACGTTGCTTTGGAACTGTGCCGTTTTTCTTCTTGTATGCCGACACTCTTTTTTTTTCTTTGGCAAGATGTGTTCACATTTCACACGTACTCTTCCCTCTTATTGTAATAGGGAATTGCACTTAAAAAGAAAATTAAATCGATGGGGTATAATACAGCGGAAATCTAAATATTTTGATTGAATAATCATGTATAATGTCAGTATTTTTTTTTGAAATAAGATCTGAATGTCGAGAAAGTGGACACAAAACTTTCCAGCGAAAAAAAACCGGAGGCAAACCTCTTCCCAAGAGTCACCAGGCGGCGCTGTTTCAGTCTGATTTTGCACTGTTTTCTACGGGTACGTATTTGGTGCAGTACAACCGTAGGCCGCAACACGGCATTGTCACGTTGTCAGCAGGGAACCCGCGAGAGAATCTATTGTGAAGTTGCGTAACTGCACGCGCGCTCGGAGCGTCCCCGTTGCCCGGCCAACACTCAATGGGATGGGTACTCTGCTTATCTGGTTAATGCACATTATTGTGCCTTAAATATGCTCACCAACAAAACAGTTGAAACACAGCACGGCCAGTACACCAACGCGATTTGTGTGTGTACATCGAAATCCGACAACCGATCAGCCTTAACTGACGTGAGGGAATCAAAGTCAGAATGCCGGAATCGGTTGAAGTAGATGCCCCCTACTACGTGAACAACTACCCGTCCCTTCGGAGGGTACAACTAGCTGCCGTCAAGGAGGGCCTGTACCACCCAAAGCTACCCACCTTTCGTCGAATGGACATGGACACGGCGGCCCACAAACTACCGGACGAGCACTGTCGGACTACAAGCCAATGTGGGCCAGGTAAGTGCCATCTGGAATGTATTGAAGGCCCAGGCGTACACGTAGTGGTCAGACTATACTGAGTTCTCTTCCGGAATACTTCCTCTTGATCCCTCTCACGCTGAGTACAGGCTTGCACAGTCTTAGAATGGGTCGGTACCTTTATCAATCAATTACCAACATCTATTTCCATATTGAAATCATTTATAACAGGATTACAAGGTAGATTCTAATTACTTCTAGTATATAGATAAGTCAGATAATATTAATAATAATAGCACAGTGTTTAAGCCTAACCTAAAATATTTATTATATAAAGGAAGGCGTTGGCCATTTTCCTGTTGTAATTTAACAGGAATGGGGGGAGAGAGAGAAACAAAGCACACCGTCCTCATAACGATGGGTAGTTTCGCCGGGAGCTGCAAACGTCTAATGGGTTACTCACCTTATTCAGACTTGGAAAGTTATATTTAAACTCCCGCTGGCGCAAGTGTGAAAAAAATGATCTTGTTCTGGTCTATGGTGAATGCAAAAGATCAGTGGCGAACAAATAATAAACAAGGAATTATATGACAACTAACTTCCGATCTTTTGCTGAATTCAGTCTGGCTGTGACTGAATTCTTCATCACTGTAATTATTCCTCAAATTAAGAAATAAGTCGGATTCACCTTTGTACGCCTAGTCAGGGTTATCTTATTTTCGTCAGCGTCTACGGACCTCTGTCTTAATTTTATCTTCTCTCGCTTTTCAGATGACTTCAAGAATGCTACCGTTACATACTTCAGACCAAGCACAACCCGATATGCTGGAGCGGTACGTTTCTCTAAAAACAACATGATAATTAAAAATCTGTCTAAATGTCTAAAATCAGCATCAGTGTCGTGCCCTATAACTTGTTATCATTGACCCGCGATAAATTTTGACAGTTGTCAACTTGATTAATTTCACAGCGTTGTAACAAACATGGGGCAATGGGGTTAAGAAATAAAAAGTAATGACCCGAGTGCATATTCATCGTTTAGTGTTATTTCCACTTAGGAATACTACCAACATCTACTGAATGGCATTTCATTTTTGTTTGAATAGTATGGTCGCTGTAAAAACGAATTAGCTAAAACCTGAATGCACAATGTATGCATGGTGTTCGCCGAAGGCTGATTAATGGTGGCACAATAAAATTGCACCTGCGACGTTTGGTTAATTTATAAGCGCAAAATATAACAGTGTGCGGAGACACACAGGAATACATGTATTATTCTTTGCTGATAAACCTCTCACTCCCGTAAGATCATTGTCGTTGCCTCCTACAGCCTTGTCCTCAGTGATTGGGAGATTGAGGATGTACATTTTCTGCAAACACCGAAAACAGCTTTTGCATACGGAGCATGACTGAATTTCTTTCGCCGAAATCCAGTCTAAGTACTAAATAGGTCATTACAGGAAAAAACATAATTTTGAAAAATACTCTCAGGGCCTTACTTTGAGCAGGAAAGAAATAGTTTATTGAAACAATTTTTTTTAAACTTTTATTTAAAAACCTAGTCTATGGTGGCCAACATACATGCATTTAAACTTTAATCAATTTTCTCGCCCAAATTCATGTTTAAAATAAAATTTTGCAATCAAGACCTTTTAAGGATAAATTCCTGTTTTGCCCCCTGCCTCCCAAAACCTGGTTACACCACTGACAACACTTATTTTTGCATCGACAGATAAAGAAATAAAATGTGCGCGACTAGGTTGCGTGATGTAGGTTGCCACACAAATCCAAATATTTGAAAGTGTTAGTGCACACAGTGGCCATCAAAAGTCCTGTACCGTACGAAGAAAGACTACGCTGAGTCTTCGATGATTATGCAGTACATGTGGAAGCAAGGGTTTTTCATACATTGACAGCTTGCCTGTGTGATATGGTTTCGAATAGCGGGCGTAAAATGTCATTTATTTGTGATTTGTTTTGAATACGCTTCATCGAATCACAGCCAGAGTGGCCATCGGAAATGAAATTATATATGCTACATGAAAAGACAATCCGAAATCGTTTTGTTAAGATTACGTAGGGAGCACCGTTAAACGGAAAGGTTTTGCAGTTCGTCTAAGTACACCTACTTCTGTTCAAAGATGAGTAAATGGAAATTCACAATACCGTAACTGCACTTCTCACTTTCATTTATTAAGTTTATGAAATGATTGCAAAAGCATGAAGAGTAGGCCTATTAGCCATTAAATTGGTAAAAATGCTCTTTCCACGGCGATAAAGAACTTGACAAAAAAGGGGGAAAACCTGAATCCCCAACCTAATGGCAATGCACGTGTTATTGTAATACTTCGACTATAAAATGTAACCTAAATAACCGCGGTTTTGTGAACTGGAAAAGAAAAGCAGAGGTGGCCCCGGATAAACATTTACCCAAAAGTGGGTCTGCGTGGGGGACCATTAAGCTGTCTAGACATTGTCGGATCAGGTACACCACGGGTACACGCATGTCAACCAGGGTCACTTCGAGGAGGTCTGAATACATTCTCGAGCAAATGACACAGTGAATGGGCATAGCTTTATTGACAACACAAGGCGAATACCGCCTATTATTGTACTTTGACAACTCTTACAATGGGACTGATTATAATGTGGAGAATCCTGTGATGAATTTTGTATTCAGGGAGCCGGGTATGCACAAAGGCCCCTTCTCGTTCAGTCAAAAAGCGTTCGCAGTGTTCACAGTGCCATGGCAAATCAGGCACAATACTATGATGCATGGTGGTTCATACTTCAAGTAGGCAAACGGAAACCCAGGCAAATGGCTGTCAGATTCAGTCAAGCTTTGGAATAAGTCTATTCAATTCCTGTCCAAACGTTTTGAAATTTCCCGGAATTGAACAGTTGGTGTATATAGATGAAAGATAAATTTTTACAACGAAAATAATCAGGAAACAAGACAAGCTTACTCAATCCTTTCGTATTATGCATATAAAATATTGCTGAATATGCTCTCCAAGGTGTTCATTTGCCAAATAGACCCTGTTAATCAAGGGGACACTGTCTGATCGCCATGACGACCGCCATGAAAAGACGTTTGAAAAATATTAAGAGGAACTAGGCCAATTAAGGAGTATTTCCAGTTCTCCCCCAAACGTGTAAAATGCCGCCAAAAATTAGCCTCCCCCACCGAAAGGCCATAAGAGGTAACATACACCATTAATTTCCCCGATGTTTTCCCCACCCCCCATCCCCTCCCCCCCGAAAATTTGTGTTCTGATCCACCATTGCCCACTAGTATACTATGACACTTTATCTCATAGCCAATCGTTATGTTCGTACAAAGCAGGTTTTTTCCATTCTGTTATATTCCATTTCGAGACTTTGTGGTAGTCGACTGATTTAATTTTATTTCTTACCCTCTTTTTGGCCTTTTTAACTTCAGAATATCACCGACACGGGAAGAAGACTTCGTGAAACGCTGAAAGACGAAATTGGGTAAGACAATGAACCGTAAAGTTAAATATTTACACTCAAAAGATCGAAGTCAAGTAGACTTCGGAAAGCTGTCGAAGATTGAAATAGATGTAGGTCTATGTCGAAATGTTTTGTACATTTGTGCATTTTGTACTTTGGTCAGATCTTGAAATACAGTCATTTGCAAAAGTTTAGGACCACCCTTAGGAAATGCATTAACTTGAAGGAAAATCAAACTTAAACCAATCAATCAGGGCAACTTATGTTTATTTTCATTGTCTAACCTTGGTACCGTGGTTGAACATTTTTGACTACATTTCCATGATTTGACATGTTAACAGTCTAATATTCAGTGTGCCCTCCTTTATTTCTGATTGCTTAGACTGGCTTTTTCCCAAGCTGCCTTACAGACAAAATGTCATACAAGACCTGCCTTTGCAAAATATTTTATTCAAATGGGTATAGCAGTACAATGATGTAAAATCATGTTACGTAATCAGTCAATGAGACCATGTAATGCGGGTCCAGTGAAAGAAATACCAATAAAATTCCAGGTGGTCTGAAGCTTTTGTAAATGACTGTAGTCAACAAGTGAACATCTTAAAATGTTATGTCTTAAAAATGGTTAGATTTTATTGCATTAATTACTAAAAACAGCCAAAAGGACTTAAAATGTTAAATTCGCAAAAATGGTCATACTTTAACACTAAAACACAACAAGCCAGTTCGGTACTTCAAAAAAGCGAGGTCATTCGGGAACAAGGCACACGTGCGAGTCAGCAAAGGGCCGTGCAGATTGGGTAGACCTCGCACGCACGTCCGGATGACCTCGGACGCACTTCCATCATAGGGCTTACGCTGTTGGATTACCGAACTGGCTCATTACACATGTAATACAATTAAATTTGAAAAACAAAATACTATTGGTACAATAAATGTACGTGATTACATTAAGTTGCTGAAAATGTGTATTCTTGTAAGCTTTTTGTCAATCCATTGTAACTGCTGACTGTTCTTATAAACATCACCACATTAACAGAAAGCTGATCACGGTTAATGAGATTCGTTTGAAAAAAAAAGAGTCAGTGATCTATGAAACAACAGTGCAATGTTCAAGCAGCATTATACTGTGAACTTTGCTTACTTGGAATTACAACTTCCATTTTTTCAGAACATTAAAAATTGACTGGTCGCAGGCCAAGGAGATTACGCAGCTGCCAACATTTGAAAAGAAAGGTATGGGTAAACATTACTTTAAGGAATTGACCTGCTCTGAATATCAAGCCATAACAATCTGTAATACCCAAACTGGCGTTGCTCAAAACAAAATGGAAAACAGTGGAGTTAAGTTGATAATCTGTGTACAAATCCATCCATCACGCATACACAAGCAGATGATGCAGTTTATGACGTTGATTCTTCCCTATGACAAACCATCCGTAAAGAATACTTTTCCGAGCAAGGATTTAATTTCGTTTGCTTTTCAGGCGCATGTATCATATTACATGTATTAGTTTTTAGTGACTGCACTTCACATCTTCAAAAATGAAAATATCGTACACGCAGCACATGTACACGTGTTTTGGGGTATAACATATCAACCTGAAGCGCATGTAGAAATCACTGTTTTTTTATTTTGTGCATGTTCACGCAGGCGACCTGAGATTCACAGGTTACGCTGTACGATACCTGAAACCAAGCATAACTGCATCGTGGAGGGTAAGTGTGTATGATGAGAGGCAAATTACAAATCATGCATCACTGATGAGTGTTAGTGGAGTGGGGTGGGGTGGGGTGGGGTGGGTGGCGAGTCCAAATCCCGAAAATCCAAAGGCTTCTCCACCTTGTCCTATGTTGAAACTAAGGTTGTTCCTCTTTTGCAAGACATAACTTCTTATTAAGCCGAAGTCGGGGGTAAAATTCAAAACAAAGCCTGAGACGCAGAAGAAGCTAAATTTTATAACCAACCCTGGTTGAGGACCAGAGAGCCAAAATATCAACATGTTGAAGTAAAGCGCATAATTACTGCCCTTCCGTTATACCCCATCCCTTCTGCATGTACCACTGCAGCCCTTCATCTTTTCTCGCATCCCAAGAGACTTCTGGTTTCCGTCCTTTCCCCTTTTCACTGCAGAAAAAGTGATACACGTTTCATTAAGCTTGCCCGTGCCCTTCCCCCAATTCATTTTTTGGGTGGAGGGGAGGGGATTGGGGGCTTTCTTCGGGGCTAATGATAAAAGTACCGTAGGGGAATACTACAAACAAGTTGTTTAAATTTGTATTTAGCGTTTCGGGAAAATTTAGGAAAATCCGCTAACGGTACATTGTCTCACACGAATCACGAGATCGCCTGTAATGGCAAACCACTTCACATGATTACAAGGGGAAAATTCCTCCAGGGTTTCCTGTGTCCACCTGTGGTGACCCACGTCACCCATTTTAGTGACCACCTCAGCCTCTTTTGACAAATATTGCCATCCCAGACTAAACGAAAAGTAAAAGAATTAATTGAATTCACTCTCCTTTTGTTCTCAGTGGCAAAACGGTCACAGATGATAGTAATAAATAGGTGTATTGAAAGGAAGTGGGTCGAGTGTATTTTATTTAAGGCCCTGTCAGAATGTTTGGTAGTAGAAGTGTGTGCGGAGAACCTCCAGTTCACCAGCACCCTAGGACAACTCAACCTTTCTTGAGGATAAAATCGTTGTACACATAGGCTAGTCTCTCAAAAGTGCAGTCCTGTAAATACCTGGCGCCTGTTTATGGATGACCTTCCTTTTTGACTGCAGTACACATTCAGGCAAGAACCAAAGCTGGACCAATACGGACAACGCCCAGTACCGGCAAACATCTTGTAAGTAATTTCAAATTGTCCTAATGACAGAATGAGCAAGTAATGCATGTAGTCTTAAAATTCAAGATTCTGATAAAGCGAAGTTAAGAAAGGCTGTTTCACGCTAACTTATGTTAGGCATGCACGATGCGGACGTTGTTGGAATACATGTAATGCCCATGGATAAGCTTGCACTTTTGCAAGAGCTTAATTAAAAAGCTGTCCATCATTTCATTGGTAAAAACTCGTATGTATTCTTTACCAACGAAGAGAACTAGGAACTACATAATACCGTATTTATTCAAATTAAGATGACGGTGAGAGTTGTTCATTTTGTTGTATGCCAATTTGATCGTATTGGTAACATGCTCTTTTGTTCACTTTTCTTCCCTTTTACCTGAGCAGCAGCCGATACCGGGACACGTTCCCACAGTACAGCCGAAATGTTGCCACCGATTGCTTCCGTTAGTCACCGTCTGCAAGGGAGAGGCGATGTAGTGCCTGGCATTACCACCTGTGTATTTCACGCCTTTTATCTGCAGATGATTTTGGTCGAGAGAACGAATTATTGAAAATATTGAAATCTATGTTTTTTCATCCACTGCACTGGCTTAAGTTGCGATTTTGCCAAGGATTTTTTAATTTCTGGAAATTTGTTGGAAAAGTGCCAGTCAATCGCGTTTTTGTTGGTATAGCATATGTGTATAAAGTGTATGATATTTTGGTGGCAAAATGCCGTGAATGCAGTGTCCGGTAAGTTTTGAAATAAGTGACTATATTGAAAATGAGGTTGTAAAAGTCAATTCAATTCACCACAGGCAATACAATGGAATGGACACCGAAATGAGTGTCTCTTGAAGTCGTGGCGTTGTGCTTGTGTTTTGTGTGGTTTTTGTGTATTGAAAGAATGTTCTTTAGGTTACGTTCCAAGAATGAAATCATGAGCCTTTCCGTATGCCGCATTCTAGTCCAGGACTGTTGTAATGAATACTGTCTGCTACTTCTGCATACGGACCAGAGGCGCACTTAAAACGCCAATAGGCCTACATTTACATGTTTAAACAGCCTCCTTTTGCGCCTTTTTCCAACCAATTGATAAGACCTGTTTTTTTTTTCTTCTTTTGGAGGGTCTTTTGCTTACATATGCTGTTTTATACATGCAGTACAAAACACGGTTTGGGTGGGATGCGTTAAAAGTGCTGACGAGAGTCCAATGATAATCAGGGTTCAGAAGAGGACGCTATTTCCCAGAAATGTTGAAACAAGGAAAACGGTGGCACTACATTATATTTGATAACATTTTCAGAATAATCTTGTTGAGCATTTTTGTAACTGTAAGTTAGATTATTCAATGCATATATTTTAATTCTCGGACCAGTAGAGTGACTGAACCGTTGTGCGTCGTCTGCAGCTACTGGGGAACGATAGTATTATCGGTCGATCCACTGCGTGAGCCATAGAAGTACAAAAGGCCCTTTTCACGGGAATTTACACTTCTCCATTTTATAGGAGAGCATCGAGTGAGGGTAATGATATAGGCCCATAGTAAATAACTTGACCCAATACTGACTCCACTGAACAAATAAGCTTTTCATATGTTGACTCAACGCGTTGATAACCCAGATGGTAAGTGTGAGCTGCAGCCAGGTTGTGCACTATTCACTTACTCAAGTCAACCGTTTACATTTTGAGCGAATTCACTTACTCAAGCCAACCGTTTACATTTTGAGCGAATTGTTTTGTTGTTAAACCTCAAGGTTTTGCGCTCATAAAATAGATTTCTGATCGAGAGCTGTCATCATTAAATGGAAGGCCTATTAAAGGAATTCATATAAATTGGAAATTTGTAACGATTGGCTCACACAGAATAGCTCTCTTTATTTCAAACGCCTTGGCCCAACTGTTCAAGAAGGCTTTTAAAAGACTGTTTGTCTTTATTTTGCGCTCAGCGTACAATCATAATTCTATACGAATGCAAAATAAGTGTAGGGGCGCCTATTTAGTGAGCGTCCAATCAAAGTTTATTCCAGTTCCATGCATAATATACAACTACACCACAACATATCAGCCGGGCTGACCAAGATTTACCATGGAGGAAGCTTCATGGTCTGACCTTCGTCCTTCGGTCGTCGTATGAAAAACTCTCTTTAAAATTGACTTCTACGGCGGTAAATAAATTAGCCGGTAAATAATTGCTGGAAGATCTTTTCCCGAACAACAGAAAGGCAGTCACAAAAAATTGAAGCGTATGCGTCATGTTAACGACTTTTTCATGCGAGTTGGACCTAAAGTTTACCCATCTTGATTACCATAACTCTAACCATAACTGTAACTATAACTGTAACCATAACTGCAAGCAAGAACTCAAAGCCAAGCAGCCAATTTGAGCCAAGAGGAATAGGCCCACAGCTAGTTTTAGATATCGCCAAGCCTCAATATTGGCAGGAGTATACATGTATTATTAACAGTTAAATCACTGCATTCCAACGCAAAGTGGTCCCACGCACTTGAGTAAACATGTCATTGCCATGGTAATGTAGGATGCACGAGGCAGTTAACCTGTCGACTTATGAAAAAACGTAAGCTGAGGTTATAGACTTTTCACCAATAAATTCATAATTATGCACGCTAATATAAGCGGGACTTTTAGTGCTCTGTAAAAAGATTTTACGTGATTTCTCCTGTGTGGACGAAATTGCCGTATCTAAGTCAGTCTCCTTTCGTGCTGTTTTATAGCAAAAACGAGCACCGCCCCAAACCTTTCTGGGAAAGGTTAAACCAAGGATTTAGTGTGAGTTGGGTCAGCTGATATCTGCTTAATGTCACTGTTCGCTGTTCAATCTTAATTTTCCTCTGCACACGTCCGTATACAACTGATTGCCGTGGATAGCTGGCTTGTGCTGCGCAGCTGACGACGAACGAATTACGCCTCGACCAAGGCTGTAGGTGGAGTTACGCACGCCAGGCTGAAGGACTGACAAGTGTGTGAATATGTAAATAAAATTATAATTTCCGGAAGATCAGAATCACTTACATAAATACAGACGAGCTGACTGTGGGAGGTTGGTACGGGATAACGAAGCTTGAGCCTCACGTTCAGACTTTTGTCTGTCGGGACCCCTAATGCGACTCGTCTGCAGAGTGACTGGACGAAGTTTGTTGTGACCAAGGAAGTGCTTATGAGCTGAATCTAATTCCTGGAGACACACTTTGTGAACTGAGTTCAGGTTTCTTATTCCCTATATTTTCGCGATGGCATTACCTTGCGTCCCTCGCTGTTTTATCTAATCATTGGAAATTTGCACTGTTGAAAAAGAAGTCTCCCTTCGTTGTAAAGCCTGCCAAAGTTCTCTCCTGTAAAATCTCCTTATTTGTATTAAACAAGATCTTTTCTTTAATATTTACACATAACCTCCATCATCAGAGTGCACTAGCATACGTATTTAATATTCTCATCAAGGATGGTTTAACAGTAACAGATCCAGGGGTGGCACGGTCTGGCGTCACGCGCCTCCTTATTTTATTGATGGAGGAACATTTTCACTCGTCATAATTACAAATTTCGTTTGCTTTCAACTGCAGAATCATTCAATATTTTCAAAAAGAAATTTTCACAAAAGATGTGTCCCACTTGTTTGTGGGATTAATCTTCTGCGTCACCCCAACTGGCTAGGCAGGGCGGCCCCAAAAATGCACGTGCAAAAATTATGAAACAAACTCAATTTAACAAACAACCCAACAAAAACAAACAAACAAACAAACACCCCAACACCCCCAACAACTCAACAAACAAGCAATCTTTAGTTGTTAGAATTTCAACAACAGAAAATGACAACGAGAATCCAATGGATGTCCAATCAGTAAAGCTTTTGGTTTACCCCATTCGCGCCGCAATAGCAGCTGTATACAACGTCTGTATCACGGCGAATAGTCCATTCAGTCCATCAGTCGTAGTCCATCCTCCCACGGTAACCCACGTTACATTTAGCTTTGACCTGACTGAAACTTAATGTTGTCATTTTTATACAGTTAATCTGTACCTCAGTGGCCATAAACTTCATAACAGTATTCGAGTTACAAAAATGCCACGGGAAAGTTTCTAACAAATCAAATCAAATCCAAGAAATTCCTTAAGATCACCGAACGCTGCAGCTCCACGCCCACCCAAGTAATGGGATCACCTGCATTCCCACGCCCACAGCCCCTACCCTTAGACATGAGATCCCTTAGGGAAAGGGTGTCGTTATGTAGTACAACAATATGACTGCAAACACCTTGCCCAAAATAGGGCCGTTTCACAATGGTGCGCCACCAAGAGTTTGCAACGCGTTGGCCAATCACAATGTGCGAAATTTGTCGACCCAATATAATGCGCATTTAGAAAGGGTCGACAAATTTTGTGCGTTTTGATTGGCCAACGGGTTGCAAACTCTTGGTGGCGCACATTTGTTAATCGCCCGTATTGAAAGTAATGCACCCATCTGCTCTTTCATACATAATGAAATGCATGCCAAATCTAGAACTGGGATGAGGGTTAATAAACCCCACCAATACTAATGATAATATAATAGAATTTAGTCAGGAGACCTACAGTACGGCGACATGTACTGACGTGTGAAATGGTATGGAGGATGACGTAATCATATGATACAGAAATAAAATTTACATATTCACTGACAATCCGTACGCCATTTTTATCCGAGTTGCATTTTGACAATCTGAATTCACAAGTTTTTATTGAGAGGACATATGCAGCAAGGTATGAGACGGAGAGAACCCCCCCTGCTTTGTGTTGGTCATTGTCTCGCAGGAATCTGGGGAATTCCAGGGAATTCCGGGGACTTGCCAATGTTGATGTACGTTCATTGCAAATACTAAAGAGAAGCGGTCAGGGAGAACATTTGGTATTGACGGCCATTGTTTGTTTGAAGGTGTATTTTTGCTACGTGATGCACTGTTGTAGCGTTTTAATCAGTCTTTACACGGCGATACTCTGTGAAGTAGGTTTAATTATTAGGAACACCATCAACCAATATATCTGAAATGGCCGAGCGGTTAAGCTCGCGGTTATCGGACCGTCAGACGGTGGGTTCGAATCCCGGGGGGACTTTTTATTTTCCCAAAGCTTTCTGACAGTCAGTAGCTATAAGAGACGTTAAATTCACCCCGTCGAATACCATCAGTAC